CTGGGTCTTCTGCCAGCCTGGTGTGTGTGAGCTGGAGTTTGGTGACTGAACTATGTGGAGGTGTGTGCAGAGGCTTATTCCAGAGGGCAAAGCCTGCCTTTCTCTTTTCACTCGAAGTTTTTCTCTTTTCATTATGCCTGTCAGGAATGAACGAGATAGGAACTTGAACTGTTCAGTAAACTCACCTGTGCGAGTAGTTTTGCCAAAATGTTGCCAGAGGGCTACACTGAGTCTGTTGATCGTGTTCACTGTTTTTTTTTTTTTTTTCAGTGTTGTCTGAGGTACTGATTTTTTTTCTTTTTATTTTTTTTCCCCTAGGTGGCTGGAGGCTCAGCCACTTCAGTTTTGTCAGAGGCCTTACTGAGTTGTAGGAGGGTTTAATAGTGGTATGTAATAAGATAGATTGTTTAGGTTTTTTTTTTTTGCATAAAACCAGTAGAAAGTGTGCTTTCTGGTTCTTGAACAAAACACATCTTTCTTTTGTTTGTCTTTTACAAATTAAATTGACCAGTTTCAAAGCGGAACGCTGAAACCCTCACTTCTGAGCAGGCGAACCTGCTTTGACGGGGGAGGGGGATGGGGTTGGACTAGATGATCTCCAGGGGTCCCTTCCAACCTTTACTATTCTGTGATTGTTTAAAAATATTTTTTTCCTGTCCTCGGCTATCTGCTAATCGTACTGGGAATATGGCTTCAGTCTGAGCCTGCATTTTTTCCTTTTAACTACTCACATGAAAATGTGAGATAATTCTAATGAAGTGGTCTCTTCCCTGCTCCTTCTCCCCCTGCCCTTTTAGAAAGGATTTGGTGGTTAAAGCTGAAGTGCAAGTAAACTGTGAAGCATGTTGCCAGGCCTTGCCTGTTAGTATTTAACTGCTGGCATACGTAAATTTAATTTTTGAAAAGCTGTATTTATTTTTTGTGAAAAAATCACATTAAAATTATAGGTTTTATTAAACTAATAGCCAATAAAATTGTTAACTGTCTGCTTATTAGATTTTCAAGCGTCTTCAGATAGTCTGATTTTATTTTAATATCTTGGGATATTTTTTTTCTACACTGCACATGGAGCCAAAGGAAGACAGCCTGAGTTTCTTGTGATGTCAAGAGCTGCTCATTGTTCAGTGTTAGCTTTAGACCAATTTATGGCAAACTTTCACATTCTAAAAAATCTCCAGATGACTCCTAATTTTGCTCAGAGCCATAGATAGAGCTAGCTAAGATATGGGGGCTGAAGGGAGGATGAAGGAGCAATTACTTAGTAGCCAATTACCAAGCAGTAAAAACCAACAAATATCCCTAAACTCTAAAAGGCCATTTCAGACCACTTACCTTGCATCATCTGAGAGTCCAGAGTGGTTTAGTCCTTACCAGTGCATTAAAAAACAGGAGCAGAGGGGATCAAGTTCTGTCACAGTGAAGTTAATAATTAATATAGTTCAAAAAATGATGATAAATTATTAATAAGGAAATCACGGTCATCGATATTCATGTCAATTCCAAAATGAATGAAAAATTGTGCCTTCAAAGCATTTTTCTTGCAAGAAATTATCTTGCAAAATGAATCCAATAGAATTTAAAGTTTGCCCTCAAGTTTTACAGAGGGTCAAACACTGTTCTTAAGTTGCTGTGGGGAATTTACAGGGCACTGAAATAATAAGGCTCCTGAGCCTACACCTTCTAGTGGGCACTGAAATAAAAAGGCTCCTGAGCCTATGCTTAGCAAGAGTCATCTCACCCTGTTCAAACCACTGCCTTGAGCTTAGTGTGTTGTGCCAGGAACCTGGTGTCATCTTCACAATTTGAAGAAATTAATTTTAAGATCTTGGCAGATGATGTGAGGGGGAACCATTGCTGCTGCTTCCTGCTGAGGCCTGCGCCTGGTGTTGAGGGGGGGTTGTTAAGGGCAAGAGGCTGGTACTTTACACACAGCTGAGAAAGCTGCCAGAAACAGATTTTTGGGATTCGCACATCAATGTCTTCATGTGGCTCTTTTGATCTTAACATTTTGGATCTGTTGAGGAAAGAAAAATACCTTTGAAATAAAATAAAGAAGGGAGTGAGGCAGGATGAAGCCTGCTTGCTTTGTCCCATGCCTTGGGTGCTGTAGGAATGAGTGCTGCAGGACTGCTGAGACATACATTAACTAAGTAGCAATGATTGCTGGTGCAGTAACCACTGAGCAAACAGTGCTGGAGATTCTGTACCTGCATCTCCTTCCATATGCAAAACTGCAAGGAGATAATTCCCTAGGTACTTTGAACTGGAGAAACATAGTTATTGGAAAATCTGAGGATCAACTTGTTGGAGTTAATCCACTGCAAGAGGGCAGCTGGGTCTTTCTTGTTTTTAATAAACGACGGTTGAAGCTGATCTGTTGTTGGCAAATTTGAAAGGCAGCAGATTTTCCTCCTTTCATCTTTTCACTGGAACATGATTGCTATCCAGTTTGCCAAAACGCTCTGCACGTAGAGTCCAGGCCTCTGCTGTACAGGGGGTGCTGTAGTTCAGGAGAAGCAAAGCTACCCCTTGTGTATCTTATCTCGCAGGTAAACATTTAAAACCTTGTCCCATAGCAGTCCCTGTTAAAAAGGCCAGGTGCTTGCAGGGTAGCATTGTCTCTGCTTCTGCCCATCTGTGGCACCACCTGGGAGGTGCCTGTGGAGCAGTTTGCATCCAGGAGAGCAGGGCTTCTGCCAGCCCTAACCTCTCCTGCCAGCCCTGACAAGCACAGTTTGTTTTGCAGACTGTGCAGGCTTCACAGCTTTGCTCCAGTAAAACTGCAGCAGTCTTACTCAGTCACACCTCTCCTCAGGTGTGATCCCAACCTCTGCCCCCTTGTCTCAGCTAGTCCAAGCACAGGTTGAGTTCCTTCTAATAAATTGCTGAAGGCTTGCAATGTGCCTTGTGCACTGTGCAGAAAGAAGAAATTTTAATTCGGAGCAAGAAACTTTGAATAATAAAAAGTACGTATGGATTTTTTAAATGTGTGAAACTGGAAACTGTTTTTCATGTGGTGTTCACCACATTATTTCTTCCCTGAAATTCCAGTGGGTCTTTTGTCATCTCACCTGCAAAGGAACCATAGTTCACAGAGCTGGCAAGGGGCGAGCTGGAACCATTGCCCGTGTCTATTTGGGAGAAGAGGTAGTCTCATCCCTGAAATTTTAGCTAACCTATGTTATGTTCTTAATGACACATAATTAAAATAGCTTTTTAGGTGAAAGGAAAAAAATATTTCTGCATCTGTCAGAATAATTGAACAGAATGTGTCAGTTGTTGCTGATTTGTTCACCAAATAATGCAATCAAATCTTTGATCAGAATAAAAAAAAATTAAATATAACAAAAGTGAGGCAGCTGCAAAGTTTTTTTTTTGTCTGTTTATATATATATGGTATTAAAAAAAGGTCTATATTTTATAGCACTGTTTCTAGTTAATACTGGGGTGAAAAGTAGCCATGATAAATTTCTAGCTGAAAGATGGTCTCTGTTGCTTATTTTAATGTCAAAAATGCTAGAAATGAGAATGTCTGTTCTTTCACACACCAGAAAGAGTTATTCACACGAGGCTGGGTAGGACCTTAGGAGATTGTGACATGATGTATGAATGCTTATAATGTGGCTGTGCACGGTTGCTGGGGTTGGTGAGGCAAGCTGTAACGAAACGTGAGGCTTGAACCTCTTGGAAGCGCAGCATAGCTGGACTTTGCTGAGATTTGCTGGCTCATCAAAATGGACTTGGAGTGAAGGATGTGCCTAGCAGCATTTTTAATGTCAAGAGAGCTTTGGTGTCAGGCTGAATTGAAAATGAGATTAATGCAGGTGAATTAAAATCTATGCAAAGAAGACCTCTCCCTTCCAAAGGGAGGGATTGACTGTATGATTGTAGTTGGCTTCAGCACCCCTGACCACACCTTTCTCCTTGTCTTGGTGGCTGGATTGCACAGCATGGCTGGTTGAGCTGTTTTTTCCAATGTCAAAGTCACTCACCTTGGGAAGGCAGCTATTGTCTCTGTCAGGTGATGTGCCTGGCCCCTGGGTGCCCTGCCAGAAATGGCTGGGGAGAGATGTGGGCACAAGGTAGGTGTGGCATCCTGGTGGAATGCTTTTTTCCCTTGCTTGATTGATTTTGGGTAGGAAAAAATGAATCGTTTGTGCAGACAGTAAAATTCTCATCAGTGGTCTTCAGAATAAACAGATCAGATGTGAACTTTAAAGACCTCTGCAGACAGCAGAGCACTGAGCCTGTCTCACTGTATATTGTGAGTGTGCTGGCAGAGATGGGGATGGTACAAATCTGCATAGCTCCACTGGCAGGAGAGAAGATACACAGCAATCTGCACACTGTTTGTCTAGGAGCATCTGGAATAGTTCACTTCATATTAGGTGAAGAATTGCTACTAAAAGAGCATGAGAAAAATCCACAATAACTATTAATTATAATAATGCTTATTGTAAGAAAGCATTTTTTTACAGTGAGAACAGGCAGCCACTGGAACAGTCTCACCAAGGATGTGATGGAGTCCCCATTGCTAGAGTTTTTAAAGATGTGACTGGATGGGGTGCCAAGAGCCTGAAGGCAGTTGTGCCTTATCTCCATGTTGCGGATTTCTGTTGACCCAAGTCAGAAGGGGATTCAGTGGAGGATGAATGATTTAACACAGGCCATGTGTAAGAACCTGTCTTGATGAGAATAGATCCTGCCATTGATCTGAGCCTGCCTAGCTGAGCTGCTTGAAGATCCTTGCAAATAATTGCAGCCTCCACCACTGGTGGTTTGAACTGGCCTCACTTCTGACATGGCCGTCAGGAGGTTAGACTAGATCTTTTGTGCAGAAAAAACCCTGCTTACTGAAAAGAACAACATTGATAGGGAGTAGAAAAAGAATAAAGTGTCAATTTACAAAGTGGCGTTTTCCCTGTATAACCAACAAATATTTAAAAAAAACCCTTGAATGTTTAATTCTAAGCTTACTGTGTTGTCTTTTTTATTCACAGGCATATTTTGAAAACGGTAATTCTGGGCCAGATGCTCTCCTTGTTTATCTGTGGGACTGCTGTTACAAGCCAGTACCTAGCAGAACAATACCAAGTGAATACTCCAATGTTTCAAAGTTTTATCAACTATTCTTTGCTTCTTCTAGTTTATACAACAATGCTTGCGTTTAGGACTGGTATGTGAAATATGGAATGGGAGATTCTGGTTCATCTTTTTTTTTTTTTTCTCTTCTATATTTTCTTTCCATATTTTGAAACTGAAGACCTCAGTAGTCTTCCTAGTTTCTTAAAACTGCTGAAATTCTTGCTTTGTAATAACACATGGTTAAATATGCATTTAATTTGTTGTCACTTCATAGATGCTTAAAGTTAAGTGCTCTTCTGTTTCAAGTCCTGTGTTTATTAGGGAAAACAGTCTTTGTTTTAACAAGCTTCTTTACCAGAGGCTATTTAATATTCCTTTTCTTATTAACTTACTCTTTAAACAGCTCTAGTCTTGTGTTTTTTTTCCTGATGTGGAAGAATTTCTGTGTTTTTCACCATTTCCATTGTCTTCTTCCAGGCTGCATTTCGCTGTTATAGTATCTTTCTTAAGTAGATGCAACCTACTTAAGAAATTGAACCTCTCAGTATTATTTACACTTGTAAAGCAAGATTCCTGTGCAACATTTGGTTGGAGAGAAACACATATTGATTACTGCTTTCTTCTAAACAGGCAGTGACAGTCTCTGGCAAATTTTAAAACAGAGGTGGTGGAAGTATATTTTTTTGGGACTGGCTGATGTTGAAGCCAATTACATGATTGTAAAAGCCTACCAATATACAACGCTCACCAGTGTGCAGGTAAGGACTGATCTTTCTTTTTGAACTGTTACTTTTATTGCAATTTTGGACCAGTTTCTCAAATGAGATTCATGGGACAGGCAGGGAAGCTATTTAGGCCTGAAAAAGCTATCCAATGTCTATTTTCTCTCTGCAGTCCAGGGAAGAGCATCCTGCATCATGAATAACATTTCCAGGAAGCGGAGAAAATTGGCTGGTATTACCCAATGCCAGCTCTTGAGTTGAACTCTAATTATTTTGATAGAAAGCACTTCTAAGAGTTTGCTGACAGCCACTCAGGTTTTTCTTGTGATGCAAAATAAAGATTTGTGACCAGCTAACACTCACACTTCACAGGCTCTTGCTGATGGGAGTGAGGTAGATCTTTTGCCTAGTATTAGAAGCTGTGGGAGGCATCGTGAGATGTCCCCCCATGCAGGAGGACATCCTGATACCTAGCTGGTGTTACTGACCATGCAGTGAGGGACAAGCCCTCTGGATTTTGGATGTGGCACTCTCTGGAAGAGATGGAGGAGAGGTCAGTGTGCCAGGCTCCTGAAGTGACAGTAGGTGCCCTCTGCAATGGCAGTGCTTGGTGCTTCATTGCTGCACTGGGATAAATCTTGTGTTCTGAAATGGCTCTACAAGCAGGAGAGCTAAAGCTGGCCTTTCTTTGTCACCCTACACAGACATAAGCTGCTGGAAGAGTTAGTGCCTTTCTCCTGCCTCCCAACTTCGTGCTCCTGAGCTTGCACAGCCAAACTCCTTGAGCAAACTGGCTCAGGATGCTGCGTAAAGTTAAAGTCTGCCTTTTGCTGGACTCCTGGCAAGCTGTGCCACACCCAGGTTAGCTCCACAGCTGCTGCTGGAGCAAGGGAGGGGATGGTGCAGAGGTAAGGAGGGAGTGTGTCTGGTGCTGTGTTAGCCTGTGCCTGCCCTTACCTGTGGTGGGTCTGTGGCTGGGGTCATGGCCTCACTTACCTGAATAATAAAAACCAAAGTACTGAATAGAATCGGCTGTTAGTTGGAAAAGTGTTCAGGTGTCAGTCTTTTACAGAGTCAGAGTAACGAGGGTTAATATTTAAAAGAATTGCCTGTAAAGCAATAAGCTCCTTCCTTTAGAGAACTGCAGTAACTTTTCTTTGCACTGCTAATGACCACTAACATGTGCCTATTGGATTATTTTTGTCACATTTCCCCTTCATACTTACATGTTACGACTCATTAGGCCTTCAGTTTTCTTAAAAATAATGCCTAAGAAATCAAAGCTTTAAGAGTGTCACGTTTTAGTCTTGGGATCAAATTGAGCAGCTAATTGAGACAGTTTTTGATCCTATACTTTACAACTGAAAAAGACAGGACTTTGATCCAAGTTCTCAGAAGTAGTAAAGCTATTCCCATGACTACTTTCACAGAAATTAAGAAAAAGGAGAGTAGGTTGTCCTGTCTGGTTGCCCAGCTCAAGCATTTGCTGAACCTTTTTCCCACACGGTAACCTTCAGACCAGTGCTTTGTTGTCGGTTCAGTAGTGGTGACTTTGTTGGAGCTGCCTGTTGCTGTAAGGTTTCTTGCACATTCTCTCAAGTCACCAGTTTCTGACCACTGTCAGAAATGAGATACAGGACACAAAAAAAAAGCCTGTGATATGCTCTAGTGGAAACAACCTGTCAGTAGCAAGCAGTTCTGCAGCTACATCAGAACCTTTGGTTCAGAGCACCAAGCCTGGTGTCCTGTCTGTCATAGTGGCTGTGAGTGGGTTCCCAGGGAGTATAAAAGCAGCACAGGAGTATATGGCACCTTCCCAAATACAGGATAATCCCTGCTAAAATGCTGGTTGGCTGGAGCCCCAGGAAACTTGCCTTCAAAGATAAGTGTTCTCAGCTCAGCAAGGAACTTCCATGTGTTGTCTCACACATGCTCACAAAAGCACAATTTATTTATTAAATAACATCATTGCATGGAAGAGGCTGGGAGATTTTTAAGGAGATAACATTGGGATGGCAGCTCTCATTTCTCTGTAAAAAAAGAAAAATATTGTGATCCACGGCTGGACTCTTTTTGTTCTGTGGCTGAGGCCATGGCAGGGAGACTTCTTGCTGCTGATGTGCTTCTGTCTTGGGGCAGGACTTAACTGTGCTGCTTTTTGACCACATCTTCCATAGCAATAAAACTAAGCAGCGTAGTTGTGGTTTCATGTTGTTAACATGTTAGTGGGGTACAATTAGCATTTGCTCTGTAGGTAATTTGAGTGGAGACATTTTGTAGGCAGCTATGGTCAATATCAGCTGACGGAAGAGTTAACCTCAGCAGGAGAGAATACAGGATGAGCCCCTGGGGTTCAACTGGAGGCTATCCTGGCTTTCTTGCTCACAAAGCTGTCTGGAGCTGACAATTATAACCAAACCAGTGACCTCCAACAGCCTATGATAATTTATTAACCATATATTAAAACATCTTTTAATAATTTACTTGCCCTACCTTTAAAACCTCCTATAAAGTGTGGCCAAAGCCTCTCCCGAGTGAAAACTCAAGTAATTTGTAAATCAAATCACCAGGTTATCTGTTTTTTCCCTTGTGAAAAGGCAGGCTAGAATTGATAAGATAAGAGTTTGCTGATGCTCTAATGGCAGTATCAATCAGTACTGCAGCACTGCTGTAAAGGTCTTAAAACATGAATAAATAAACTTTTTTATTTTATAGTTCCATTGACACAGTTCATTGAAATATTACATCTGCTTTGCACCTCTTTGATCTTGATCCTGCACAGAAGAGAGCATTTTCCACCAAAGAGCTCTGTAACATAGGAGATGAAGGGAAGGCAAGATACAGTATTTGGAAATCAGATTTCTTCTGTCTCTAATTGAGGGTAATTGTCCCCTAGAACAGATTACCAGCGTGTGTTCTTCATCATTTGGTGTCTGTGTATCCTGTCTGTAAGTGCTCTAACCAGGATGCTGTAGCTCAATGCCGTGTTACTGGTCTGAGTGCAGCAATTCCCCATCTGGTGTTACTGAAAGACCTTCTGGCTCATTATGTACTATTTCCTTACATCCTAATTAAGAAATTTTTTAAAGGGTTTTTTCTTCCACTCTTTCTGTTTGGTTTGAAAAACTGCTCGGAGGTGGGGAAGCTGCATGGTTAACATCTCAATTAACGAGGAAGTGCTTATTAGTGGAAGAGATGTCTATTGACAAGGGGGTAAACATTTTGCTTTCTAATGTCTGTAGTATTGTTGTTTGATAGTACTCAAAGCAGTCAGAGTTGGAGGAAGTGTTAGGAGGTTTTTCCTGACTTAGACTAAATAAAAGAAGGCCTGTGACTAGACAGACACTCACAGCATGGTGTTTTTTCAGTAGAGCAAGGTTGTACTGAAACCCATGGTATCATGTATGGGGACTCCTGTGGTTGTAATCATACAGCCAAGGCAAGGGCTCTTGCACTTTACAAACTGGACTAGCTGGAGACAATCCAAGGAGTGAAGACAAATAGATGGAGGGATTAGAGGCGCTGTTAGGATTTAATCTGTAATAACTCCCCGTTAAAGCTATGCTTTTAAGACTTTAATATGTATATTTAAGAGCAAGTAAAACCAGATACATCATGGAAGTCGTACAAGTGTGGTTCAAACCCTTGGGACAATGGCTGAGCTGGTGGAAGCCAGCACAGAGGAAGACTGCAGCGGTGCACTTAGGCAGATAGAGGTTGGCAATGAACGTTAAGGACAAAGGGCCCTTATCTTGATTGTAATGATTATGTCCCAGTCCTATTGACCTGGATCTAATACTTTGTAGGGATTTCAGGAGGCCAAGTTTTAAGGGCTGACATTTAAGAGCAATTTGTGGCTGCAGCAGAAGGCTGACTATATGTTCTACTGTAGACTGTTCCCTTGTTTATTTTCAAGGCACTCTAGTGAGACGGGTCAGAAAATACATCTTTTGTTTTGTTTTTCCTCCAGATAAATTCAGAAACAAAGTCTGTTTTGTTGAATTAAATATTAAAGCAGTTACGGTTAGCTCAATGATCTCAGTATGATTTGGTTATTCTAGAACATTATGCCTATCTTATGCTGCAGTGTATTTTTCTATATTAAGTACACAGCTAACTTGGTATTCTCTGTAATAAAGGAGAATGGGTAGAAGATGTGTTCATCTAATTGGAAGGCAAAGATATGTAGGATTTTAGGAATATACAGAGAGAGGATAATAAAGGCAGGCAAGAGAAGTCAGTGCCACTGACTGTCCTGGAGTGCAGACGTCCTTGAACCATGGCTGTTCAGCGTGCTCGGGGCAATGTTTGCAAACACATCTGAAATGCCTTGAAATGTCTGCTTCTGGGGCTGCTGGGAGTGGTGTACCTGCTTCTGACTAGTTGAGAGTCAGCTATAACAGAATAATGAAAACATGTTGGTGGCTTGTACATGCTTTTGTGAGAAGCTGGAAGATTGGGAAGGAGCTTTAGGAAGACTGTTCTTCTCTTCCTCCTACCAGTTTTCCAGTTTTGCACATGGCTTCCCATCGCCTTTTTTTTTCAGTAGGATTTAGTTGGGGGAATAAAAAATCAAACCCAAAACTGCAGGGTTGGATTCTTGTCCTAGTTACTTCACCGTAAGATCAGATTACTTGTATCCTTCAGTAGTTCCAGGTTTTTATTTTGTGTATGTGGAGCCTTAAATTCTAATTAAGGATTTGAGGAGGGGTGATAAGACAAGCTAGACAAAACCTGCTGGGGAGAAAAGGCAATGCAGGTGAACCACCTCCTTATACTGGTGTTGAGGGCAGCAATGTAGTTTCAGAGCAACATCTTCGCAGCTTCACAAGTGAAAGCTAGGATTGATTAGATACCTCATTAGAAGAGTTTCTAGATCAGTGCTTTCCTACCTGGAGAGAGTGGAGCCCTGCCCCAGCTCCTCCTGCACTTGCAAAATGCTTTTAATGGTAAAATGGGGTTCTGACCCCTCTTCTAAACAAATCCACTGGGGTTGCTTTAACATCTGGCAGTGACAGAAAGTAAGATCCTGTATGTCTGCTTTCAGGATAGTGCAATCCAGATTTGGGGGGAGTTTCTAATTCAAACCATTTGTCTGTACACACAGCTGCTGGACTGTTTTGGGATTCCTGTGCTGATGGCTTTGTCCTGGTTCATTCTCCACGCAAGATACAGGCTGATCCATTTTCTTGCTGTTGCCATCTGTTTGCTGGGTGTAGGAACAATGGTGGGTGCAGACATTTTGGCAGGGAGGCAGGACAGCGAAGGTAAGGAGTCCGTTACCGCGGGGGAGGGCGAAGAGCGGAGAGATGGCTCCCATGGTGGGCTAACTTGGAAAGGAGAAAGGGACAAATTCAGGGCAAGTGGATATAGTTTTACTTCAGAAGAAAAGAAGACAAGACATACTGCTATTTGTGTTTCTTGTCCAAGGAAGCAGTGGTTGAGGAGACACTGATTTTATGGAGAACTGTGGAATTTCTTTTGCTTGTAGGTCTGGATTGTTTCTTCCACACTAAATGAGAAACACTTGTGTTGAGCTTAAATTTTGCTGCTTTTTATCAGAACTGATGAAAGGACTCATTCTGGAAAGCATGTTGGCTTTTCTTAATCAAGTGAGATGGTCTTGCTGCCTCTCCCTGGAAACCTTGTCTTGCTTATACAGCAGCAGCCTACTGGCAGCCAGACGTCTCTGAGCAAAAATATCAAATAAAAGTACTCAACAGCACCTGACTCCTTGAAGTTATCTTTGGCAGCCCCAACAGAAATGGTCCATGAATCCCCAAGGCCCACAGGTCACAGCCTGTAAACCAGGGACATACTATGAGAGAGCAAGAGCAGACACAGGCAGGATGCTGGGGTTCCTGGGACCTCTGAGAGGGAGGCTGAGCTCTGGGGACCAGGATTGAGCTGGATGCAGATAAGGGTGGGTCTTATCTTCTCTATGACAGATGCCTAAATCAACCTGTATCCTAGCAGTCTTGCTTTGAATAAGAATTTTGAATTTTCAGAGCCAGAGGGTATGACGCAAGGGAAATTTCAGGGTGTTACCTTCATCAGGCAGCGTAGACATAAGCCTGTTCGGTGTTATTTTGGGGCTTTACTGTAGGTAAGACATCAAGAGAAATTGAGCTTTGGCTTTAATGCTACATGGTACAAATATCTCAGCCCTGAGGGAGAAAAATCTTTTCCTGAGACTTTAAGACAGTCATGCCTTATTCAGTGACTTGGGTATCCTTGCCACTGCTTAACCTTATATTTCAGATGTTTTCTTAGCGATTGCCAGCTGGCTCAGGGAAGGAAATTTAAAATCAATTCAAAGATGTAAACAACAGCAGTCCTCTTGCTATTTAGCTGATGGCAAATGACATTTACTTGCTGAGCGATTGTATCGCGGGGGCCCCACCCGCACGGTGTAAATAAAGCGCAGCGGGACACGTCATCCCCCCCGTCTGCAGCGCCTGCCTGAGGCCTGCCGCAAACCTGAGCCTCACTCCAGTCCCAGGGACAGCAAGAAACTGCTTTTACCAACACTGGGATCAGGCCTCACTGCAGAAGCAGGGGAAATATTTGGAAAGGTAGCGAGCGTCTCTAACTGGGGATTTTCTTAATTCCCTGCAGTGTCTAATGTCAGCATAAGTAAGAGTTGAACCAGACTGTATAGCGGAGGTTTGGCCAGGGTGAAGTTTAAATGCTGATTAAATGTACTTCCCAGACTTCAGGGTGAGGTGAGCAGGTAGGAGAGTCTGTGCTCAGACACCAAGCCACTCATCTGCACACAGAGGAGACATTTTCTTTCCCCTTACCCTGGAAGGTGCTAGGAAGATTGAGATGTTAGAGATAAATTTGCTTCTTTTTTTTAAGGAAAGTTTAAAAGTGTTTGCAGCATTACCCTTATTGTGGATTAATATTTCTGTACAGGTAGTGACGTGGTGATTGGAGATGTCTTAGTGCTTCTTGGTGCTTCTTTGTATGCCATTTCTAATGTGAGTGAGGAATACATTGTGAAAAATCTGAGCAGAGTGGAGTTTCTAGGAATGGTGGGCTTGTTTGGGACTATTATCAGCGGTCTACAGCTGTAAGGATCTAATATTTATTTTAAAACTAATTAAGACTATTCTACAGATGATTGTTTGTCTGCCATGAAATGATGTTGTTATTAAATTATTTCTTTATGTCTGCATTTGGCCTATATGGGAGTCCCTCCACTTAAATTTTATAGCTGCTAAGCATCTATTTTGTATCCATTTCATTCACCCTAAAGCTGAAATCCTGCAGTGGAACACTTATGATACTTGGCTAGATTTTTGGTTTTGTTGAACTCCATGAAGACACTCAGTATGCTGAGGACTGTTTGCACAAATGTATTTCTGCATTGGTTTTCTCTATGAAAAAGTTTTGGAAATAATTGTTAGCATGAGGTCTTCCATATTAAACTCCATTTTAAACTGAAGCCATGTATACTCTTACAGATAACCCTGTTAGAGTAACAGACCACATGCACTTAAGTCTGCCTAATGAATTTCATGTTCCTCATTTCTCATCATTATAGCTAATAATTTTCTCAAGTGGTATATCAAGTAAAACTGAATCTCTGAAGGATGAAGAAGCCTGGGGAGAAGGCATAAGAATTAAATAAAAGTGTTCTTGACTTTCAGGCACTTTAATTTTCCAGTTGTTTTTCGTGCTTGTTAGATGTTTGAGTTAGTGTTATTCAATAAATTTGCAAACTAAACTTAAGGGATTATAAATCAAAATGTTTCTTATATATTTTGGTAATTATCTATTTGAATATGATTTTTTTTTTTTTTTTTACTGTATTATATCTTTTCTCTCACTCTAGCGCCATTGTGGAACATAGGGACATAATGAAAATTCAATGGAACTGGAAAATTGGTATGTGTATGAGAAAATGATGTGGATTTTTACAGAGCACTGGAAAATGATAGTCATTTAGACTTCAAATGCTGGGGTTTTAATTTTCTTTGGAGGTTAAGCTGCAGGTATATTGTCAGTTATTTATATTATATTCTGCAAACTTTGCAGCTCAGCAAAGAGGTAAGGTTTGCAGGTTTGAACGTTAAAACCTTTGAGCTCAGGTTTTGCATTTTTTATGTCACATTAAATAATTTTTCAAAATAAAATAAGTGAAAATTAAACCTGTTTGAGGTACAGACGTGTTTGGTGTTGGAGCATCACAAGAACATCTTGTGTTGGAACATCACAAGAACATTTTTCTGTTGTCCTTCCTAAATGAAATACTGGAAAAATGGACTTTGTGATGCATTTTGACCTCAACAGAACTACATATTAGTAGGAAATGTGACTCTAAATTTCTGCAGTCAGCTCTTAAGTTAAGTAGGAATACAAGAACATTCTTGTATAGAAACAGTAATTTTTGCAATATTGGTTGGTCTTGGAAAAGAAGTATTTCTTCAGTGTTTTTTTAGGAGACCTTATCCTAAAATATAAAAACACGTAGTTTTAAAGCCTCTGAAGAATATCTGTGTTCTTTAAAATCATTATTGTGTACCTTAGGAGTAAATTGTCATCTTGTTTTACAGCATTGCTGTTCACAGTCTTTGCCCTCTGTATGTTTGGGCTCTACAGCTTCATGCCAGTAGTGATCAGAGTTACCAGTGCAACCTCGGTCAACCTGGGTATTCTGACTGCAGATCTCTACAGTCTGTTCATTGGGCTATTCCTCTTTTTCTATAAGGTAAGCACCTTAATTCTTTCACTGTAATGTTGGTTACATGCTGTTTTGCCAATGACCAGGCCCAACAAAAATGATAGCACCAGCAGGGAGATGAATCAATATGCAGACTGTATTGTAGACAGAAACGTTACTATATGAATGACCGCCGGGGGTACAAACAGGTCAACAAGCTCAGACATGATCGACGCCACCCCCAACGATCCCACAAAAGATGTGACTCGGCCCACAACAGGTGGTACAAACAGTGAGCTGAGGTTTCCCACAGTTGGTATGGGAAACAGCCAGACCAGCCAGTTAAATACATAAGAAAAAGGTGCCCACATGGCGACTCTCACCTGATCCGCCCGCATTCGCAAAGGCCTAAACAGACCAGGGCCCAGCTCCATGGAGAGTCAGGAGGTCTTCCCTGAACCAGGGAGCTCTGTGGAGTGCACTCCACAGACAGACACTCCTGACTCCTTGCCAGTGGTCCCAGCTTTTATCCCCAAGCAGACACCTGACCTTTGTCAACTCAGTGTGGGACCCCTGGGGCTCATTTCCCTTCTGGCTCTCCCTGCAGGGCCGGCCGCACCCTGGGGGGAAGCTATAAGGCAAACTCACCCCCTATTTATGAAGGGCTGTGGGAATCACCCATATGTCAGCCTTAATTTGGGGGCTCGGGGTTCAAACCCCAGCATTTCACATGCTTACTCCAAAGTTATAAATAAAACATAATCTTAAAAGTCCCTGAACAGTCATTTGCACTTTTAGGTTTCTACAGCTTGTATTGTTCATCGATGGCAGATGTCAATCAGGGAGGAGTCATACTTAGTTAATTACATAGCATTGCACCATTAGGCAGATGGTGATTTTCACAATTTCACACTTGATGGAATATGTTAAAGTTAATTAAGGGATAGTAAATAATTTCTCAAGGTGTTCAGTGGTAAAGTTCTTGCTGTAAGCCCTGTGTGGAACTGTATGTTACATTCAGTGCATCTCTCTGCGTGTCCAAAGAGAAGGTTTGAGTCTTCCCTGTCCTGAAAGGCATTGGGATCTGAGAGGAATGGTTTGGCTTGACTTCCAGAAATTAATGTTTTCTTTTAGAAATTTAATTTTTAGAAACTTAATCTGTTCATTACCAGCATCTTGAGTTAAGAGTCAAGCTCTCTCAGAGCTACTGCTAAGAAGAGACTAAAGGAAATGAAATAAATGCAGATAAGTATATTATTCTGTGTGCTCTCTGAAAGGCAGGTACTTTTACTGTGCTCTGAAATATTTTTGATAGTGTCTATTCAAGCTAAATGACAGTGCTAGAAAGATTTCATTCCAGCTTGTACTTTTCATACAGAATCATTTGTGGGAACCTAGCTCATTGCAGCAATTGGAGTAATTGAGTCCGTTGCTCGATGACTGGAAGGCCTTAGTAGGCAGCTTGTGAGCTTTGCTTAAGAACTTAATTTGTATTATTCCATGTGGTTGCTTTCTCTTCAGCATTATGGAGAGCCAGAAGCTTTTAGGTCAGATTTGCCTCTGAAAATGAAGGGCAATTTATTTTACAGCATGGAGCTCTGGTAATGGTAGGGTCTGACAGCAGCTAGATTTTCCTTTTTAAGAGTCTCCTTAGCTCAGCTTTCTTCCTTGTTTTGAGTTCCAAAATTTGCTCCAAGCCACAAAACATCACTTAGAAATGAGTGCAGGAATCAAAGTATACTTACATGCTAACACTTAAAAAAAAAAAAAGTCACTTCCAAACATGTAGTTTGGCACCCAGATAGCTTAACTCAAGAAGTGGTAATAAATTTATATTTGCAATACTAAAAAGGAAGACGTAAGAGCGAGCTTTGGAAGGGTTATAATAAACTTCTATTATTCAGAATTTTTAGCTTATTTTGGAGAGAGTTTTTTCTGAGAGTCCATGATCTCATAGTTGCTAGCTATGAGGTATTCTGGTACCAAAAAGGAAAAATTAATTAGGGAAGACTGGGATTATATTATGAGAGAATTTCAGCTATTTATTAAAATAGGAACTTGAATCTGTGGTTAGAATCAATGAATTATCAAAAAGGGGAGCAATAATATTGCCATATCTTTAGTAAAAAGAGGATCTGAGCTAGCTTAGGAATCAAGAGCTGGTTTTGACACAGCTTTTAACACAAGACTTAGCAGTAGGAAATTTTTTTGACAAGTTAACCATATAGGTTCTTTACCTGTGATGCAGAGAAACCAGACAAGACATTTTGTGGGTTAAAAAGCACCCTGGACACAGGAGTCTACAAACAAAACTGCAAGAAAACTCTGTATTCCCTGTTGAGAGGTGATCCTTCACAGCAGGCCACTGAAGTCTTGTCTGGGCTGCAGAGCAGAGGGAGCTGTGGGGGGCTCTGAGTTGCTGTCCTCTGAGCCTGCTCTGGAACATTAGCAGCACAAATGTACAGTGGCTACAGCAGAGGCTGGGCCCAGGAACTGTTGAGGTTTTCACTTCTGCACAGTCTTCAGCTAATGCACTCAACTTTACAGCCCCAACCAAGTCTGTTTAAGGTGAAATGTGAATCCTGCGTAACTGTTCTGGTGAGCTTTTTTTTTTTTCCCCTTCTTTTGCAACATAATGAATCTTTGCAGTGCTTGTTCCTAATGAGCTCATGATACCTGTAATCCCTCAAGAGTTATTAAAAATGTCTCCAAATGCTTTTGCAGTGTAAACTCCTATGGAAGGGAATATACTGCAAATACAGTCACTAGATGGAGTTACAGTCCTCCAGTAACATTTAAAGTATTTTATAGGCCTGATCTTGAGCATGGGGATATAAGCTGCACAGGTACAAATTAAATCAGTGTCTGAAGCAGTGATATTGTTGCAATATTTGAAATGAAAAATAAAAAAAAAAAACACAGGAGAAGACCACTGAGCCCTCCCCAAAAACGAAAAGAAGGAAAAGAAAAGAAAAGAAAGGAAAGGAAAGGAGAAGAGAAGTGGGATGTAGGATGCCCTATGTCCTTCATCCTGCTGTTTGGCAGTGTAGTTTGGCAAAGGCAATAAGGAGGATTTTAACAAATCTGCGGAAAAAGTGTTCCTGGCTGTGGACAGCTTGAACACTTTGTATTATTGAATCAGATGTTACAAGGTAAGCATTTATTTTTCTCTCAAGGTGAATGAATCTCAGCAGTTGTGGGACTTCTAACAGGCAAGTGAACGATAGTGAATAAGATGCCTGATGTACCTCAGCAGTTTGTACTCCTACCTCACAGCCCTCTTAAGAGAGCACAAATGCCAGTTTTATAGAAGGAGACCTAGTGTCCCTCTCTTCAAGGACTTGGTGGGTGTAGAGAGACAGTAGTATTTATCTAGCCCTGCAGATGGTTAAGAGCTCTGCAGAGAACCAGCTGCTCTGGTGACTTGCAGTAGAATGGGGAGATTAAGCTCTTGGTAGGACCTGAAATCTTTGCTTGTGCTGAAACTCTGTTAGGGTACAGTGTTTCAGCATTCACGTGGGTAAACAGCTACCCTTTGGTATCGCCCCATTTACAGCCATTTGTTCTCTCTGAGACCTAAGGAGACTCCGTGTCCAACAGTGTTGGGGGTGAGATGCAGAGGAAGCCAGCCAGCAGCCTGAGTCTGTCAGTGAATGGAGCTGTTCAGTTTTGATTTTCAGACCTGAATATAGACTATCATGGGGATAACCCTCATTAAAATAATTTTTAAAAGGAAAGGTAGCTTTCATATTCTAAACTGAGGCAGCATTAACCTGTTTTTACATCCGACAAAATGCATCTCTTTCTTCCCTCTGCCAGTTTTCAGGTCTTTATATCCTGTCCTTCGTTATCATCATGGTGGGCTTCATCCTGTACTGCTGGGTGCCCACGCGGGCGGCGGAGCCCAGCGCCGTGCCGCAGCCCCACCCCGCCGGCCGGGACAACGC